GTAAAGCCCTTCTTTTGATCCATTTCCCCATCCAAGCGAAACCCTTGCCAAGAATATAAGAAGGGAATATATGATATTTGACATAAAGCGTCCCAAATTTGTGTTTGTAAAACTACATTGGAAGAATAGATGTTCATTGGTTTCTAAAGCAAAATTGCAAAAGATAAAAGTGTCATCAATACTTGGAGTACACCGTCTTTGCTTACTTTTTGTTATTAAATGATAAAGTATTGCCAACAAGCTAATAAAGCTATGCTTAGGGACTAAACGAGAAAGCCAAGTCAATCTATGCTAGGGTGTTTTGATATGCTTTTTCCTTGACCAATTCCAAGTACTTCTTGTTTGAAAAGTGCCTGAAGAAGAGGAAGCCCAAATCACAATATCCTTTTATCCTTCCCTTGGATATAACATGTGGAAAAGAGTCATTTAAATTTGCACAAGCTATAAATACTGTGCAAGGAGACAAACAGAAATTCATTCACAACATTAGATACCTTAGCATTTAAAGAGATGCTTGAATTCTATTCAATTTTAATGCCATACACTTTTTTTAAGGGGCTAGAAGGGTGCCCATACTCATGCCAGAGGTAGGTGTCCTTACAATCTCCAAGTATATGCCGTATCAATCTTCTAACTTGAGTTCTGAGCTTGAGAAGCTTCCTCTATTCACAAGAGGCGTCTGCAAGAATATTCAGAGTCCAAAAACTCTTCCCTTTTAATAAGTGCACACTAACCCAAGCAACCCATATAGAGCTAGTTTTGGAGAAGATCATCCAAATAAATCTCATCATAGATGCGACATTCCACTAAGTAATGCCATGGATTCCTAAACTACTTATTTGGGAAAACAAACTAAATGTCAATTTGGTGCCATTCACATTTAATTATTTACTCTTTTTTTTCTTTTTAAATTGTCATTTAATATATATTTTATACCAACAACCTAAATAATTCAGTGATTATCTCCTTTCGTTAAAAGTAAAAGATCTTGAATTTGAATCGTATAGCATGCGGATGAAGTAAAATAAGAGATAGAGATAATTGTCTTTTATTGTGTAATCAAAATCAAAATATATATTATTTATTGCAAGAAACAATTTAATCTGTTGACCACACTTTGCCTACTTGCTCTTACAGTTTTTCTTGCCATTTCTAATTTTATTCGTATTTTATTTTTAAATAAATAATTATAACATATATTCAATAAAAAAATTATTTAAATGATATTTAAATAAAGATAAATATAAAACTTTATTAATAAATCATTAGAAAAAAAAAACTAAACTTATTAAAGTTGGAGGGAGGGGGTACACCTAATTGGTAAAGTAAGTAGACTCTACCATAATTAAAGAGTAATGATCCGCGGACGATGTTGCGGACGATTTTGGGGACTATAAGTGAAATAGGGTTAAATTGGTAATTATTGTTGTACTACTTCACTTATCGTTCTCAAAATCGGCCGAAACGTCATTCCGATAATCATTACTCATAATTAAATGATTAAAAATTTAAAATAATTGAACGAAGGAAGGATACAGAGCAAAATTTTCCTTTCGGGAATCAGGAAAAAAAGGTCCAAGAGTAAATGCGCTTCGCCAGATCCACGGTCGAAGTCAAAAAAGTCAACGAAAAAGCCAACGAAAATTCGCTGAAATTACTAGATTATCCCTATAAAACCAAACCTCCCGCATCTCTCTTCTCTTCTCTCTTCCCCTTCCTGCAATCGGAGAGACAGAGCTCCTTCTTCTTCCTGGTGAAGAATAGCGGCCGAGAAAGATGATACCGCAGAAATGGACGTCTCCATGCGGAAACCAATGCACTCAGAAATACTCAGCGCTGTTGCAAATTCCATGTAACCTTCTCTTTTTCTATGTCTCTTAAATGCATATCTGTTTCTACTGTATCATCTTCTCCTTCTGGTTGTGCTCGTATGTAGATCTTGCTTCGTAGATCTGTTTCTTTCAGTATGTTTGTTGCGCATTTTCTAAGTTTCTTCATTCCTGGTTCTGATTCATCATTCTGTGATTATCTGTGTTTTTCTAACCTAGAACTTCATTTTTTTTTTTTAATTCTGGATGTGGAGTTGCAGTTTCTTCCAACTTATCTGCTGCTGAATTTATTCGTTTATGTGTAATTGGAAAGGAATTTTTTTATTAATATTTAATTGTATAGTGCCAATGAACAGATCTTTGAATCTCTTGATTTGGTTATTCATGATGATTTGTGCACTAAATGTACTTCCACTGATGTTGGGTGATCTGGAGTTGTGTGCAAATAAGAGAAAGAGCAATCTCCTTAGCTTTCTTTGCTCCTTTAGCAAAATTTGTCTATAATATTGCTTGCTTGTTATATAATTTCTTTAATGTAGGACCTCGAGCAACACACACACGCACACACATATATATGTACTTTTTATGCAGAATTAAGTTCATTTATATGAATTTTGGTTCCAAGAAAATATATACCTCACGAAATAAATGAAGTTGGTTTGGTGTGAGGTCAACTTAAGATTTAAGCTCAGTTGCATTCCCAGGGCTTAATTTGAGTTTATTTTTCTGTAACTTTTGAATGATTTTATTTGACACTAGCAACTGTGGCTGGTTCTTGTAGGGAGAGTGTTTTGCAAAAAGGGATGTGATTCTGATGCAGAGACATGGGATGAATGTAAGTCTTTGTATGAATATCAGTTCTTTTTATGAATTTTTGTGGTAGTGCATTGTTCAGATAAGAAACTTCCGTATAATTTATGTATCAATATATTGTTGTAATGTATGAATGGAGTGTGCATAATCTTGGCATGCAATGCTAATTTCTGTTCTTGGTTTATGTCCCACACTTAGCATGGTTCTTAACCTACATGGTTTGGGATTTCTTTTCTCTTTTGTTTTTGGGCCATTACATATTTTGGGAATTCAATCAGTTGTAGAATCAATCAAAGTGTTCACTACTAGCATAAAGGATAGTGTTTTTTTTTTTTTTTTCTTTTTCTTTTTCTTTTTTTGATGAAAATGTAAACTTTATTCAGGTAATATTATTTTCAGATGATAATATTCAGTTGCTGATATTATGGATCTCCAGGCGTGGAAGAGTGTGAGGAGATATGCTTCAAGGATCCTGTACTTAAAGACCAGCAGTGGAGTGCTTATATTGATCGTTCTCCTGGAGCTGCCAGCCACTCAGAGGTATTATTCTTTTAGCAATCTTTTTACACTTTATATATTTCTTGACTAGATTATTTTCATCCACTATGATAGTTTTGTGGTTGATATGGATGAACTATTCACATGTTAAGAGTCTATAATAACTATATTAACAACCAGAACTGTTTTGCTGTTAAAAAAAAAAAAAAAACAACCAGAACTGTTTTATGGTCCATTGCAACCAATGACCTTGCAAGAAAGGTTTTTTTTTTTTTTTTTTTAAATTAATTGGAATAGATGTGCACTTATTTCTCTCAACCATTGGAGGCTTCCATAACTGAGAATACTGTAGAGGTCTGAACTATCATGTGACCTATAATAATGTATCATGGGCTGTCACTCTGGCAGCCAAGATCTTTTGGGAGCTTGACAATTCTCATGTTGTGTACTTTCACCAACAAACTGGAATGCATTTAGCATTATGACCATAACTTATTATTTAATTAGAAGTGTAAGGATGTGCTGATGATGTCTAGTTGTAGCTAATTGATAATAATGAAGGTCATTTAATATATTTTTTTGGCCATGAAGATCATTTAATATTAATTTTTCAAATTTCTGGTTGTTTTTTCTGTTTCTGCATACAGGATTGTTTTCATGCTTGTGTGGCTGGCTGTGGTTATAAGGTTGGTTTGTACTCCTGAGTTTGAAATATTGTAAATTTTTCTTCCCTTTCTTCACAGGCATTTTTTCCTCCCTTTCTTCATTGGCATTGTTATGGTCCTTTATATGCTTGCAGTTTGACATTCTCCAAGAGAAAGTTGATCAAGTTAAGCCATGCAGGCCACCCACGCCTCCTCCCCCTGTTAAGAAACCACACCCTCCAGCTACCAAACCAAATGAACCCACTGAAGATGTTCCTTCCACGTCTGCGTAATCAGAGGCAAAAGAGATAATCTACAACTAAGTCATACTCTCCGTTAGCTAGGCATCTTATAGTTTACTTCATTTTACCATGATCAGCAGGGTATCAGGCTTGTTTTATAACAGAAGCACCCTTTTTGCTCCTTTATCTTGTCCCTAACCAGATTCCTTAAGCTCCAGATAAATCGTTTCTCAACTGGAGTTTTTAGTAGCAGACTGCTGACATAGATGTAATTAGATATACCCTCCAATTTTGTTGGCAACTTGGAGGTTTGGTGAATTTTTTGTTTTTCTGATTTCCAAAATAACCAATAGATGTATCCACTTAAATTTTAGTGAAAAACTTATGCAGGATTTCTTCTTTGGATAATCGAGAACCATATTAGCTTGATGTAGCCATGGGGAATGAAATAACATACTGCATTAGCGATTCAGAATGCACCTCAAAATTTCTGTGCGCTGAATTTTTTTTTTTCCTTTTTTGGCTTTCCCATTCATTTGGCTGTGAACGAAATATCAGAAAATTTGGTGTATAATTTTTTCGGAGGATGGGAATGTAATTATAAACAAACGGTGGCCTGAATCATACTTATGGGTAAAACTGAAGGATGTGATCATAATTTATATGCTAACAAAATATTTCGCTTTTCACTAAAAAAGGACACATTAGAAGATTCAGCGTCGTCGTTTTGATATGAAGCAGCGATACCCTGCGGAAAAAGGCCGTCTCTTTGGTTTCCTTGAACCAAGCTGAACTGAATCCAGATTCCCGCCAATCTTGATTTGGCTCCCGCAAAACCCTGGAAATCGAATTCGAGTTCAAAACGAAAATAGGGAATTAAAGAAAGAAGATGCCTCAGGTGAGCATCACTGTGAAGAATTTCATGGACATGCTGGCTTCCCTACCTGCCATGAAGAGTGACACACTGTACCATAATCAATTCATTTGCGAAGCCATTCTCAGGTCCTCTTTGGCTCTTCTTTACCACTTTGTCTCCTCCTTTGTTAGCTTTGGAGTATATTTGTTTTTGTTTCTAATCATAAAACTCAAAATTTTCACAGTGATGTTATGAATTAGTAATTTGAAAGTTTTCCACGGAACTGGTGCATGGAGAAAATATTATGAGTTTCCTTATCTATTTCTATTTCTATTTCGTTTGGCTAGGTCTCTGCCACCTCTGGCGAAGAATTATGTGCTTCAATTGTTGTACATTGATGTCTCGGTGACAGCCAAGCCGTTACAGGAGTGGGAACTTGCTGATGGATCCACAAAGCATAAAGTTGCCATTGATAGGTTGATTCAGTTAAGAGTATTAGAGGTTGTTGATAGGTTAGCACCTGCTGTTACTTGTTTTATTATTATTATTTGTAGCTGTTAAGCCTAATTCTTCTTGGTTTTCAGTAATGATCAAGAAAACATCTTAAATTTAATGAGAAAAAATAAAATTACCTTTGTACACTTGGGTTAGTGCTAATGCTTCCATTAACTGATGGAGTAAGAAGTTGCATGGGCATTGAGTAATTGACAGTTAACACTATAATTTCCTTGTCTTTCTCGATAGGTTGGGAGTTGTAAAACAGAGCTTTTCTTTTTCAATATCCTAACATGTATGGTCTTGCAGGAAGAAATAAACCACTTACAAATTAAATCAAACATTCCAGACAAACCTACGACAGCACTTATTAAAAGGGTAAGCATTTGATATGTGACACCTTTTTCTTTATTCTTCTTTTTTCACTTTGACTGGTATGTAGTGTCGTACATGATTAGATCTGAGTTAAAGATATTTATTAATGGTTTTTGTTTTTGGAAATCATAATTTCCCCAAGTGTTTTTGTCTGCATCTATCTTAATATTTTTTCCCTCTGATCTTATTAGAACAAACTTCTAAATGCCTTCAATTTACCTGGTTTCTAACATATTTTTCTGTCTTTTGATCCTTTCTGCTCATACCACACCATTTATTCTGTTAGATTGCTTAGGCTTTTATTGTTATCACATGAATTTGTGTGTAAGTCCATGTTACCTTGCAGTGGAGTTTTGGCGAGGGAACCAATGCCTTCTAACATTGTGAGGCGGCCAAGTTTGGGGGAACTTGAAGCTTATGCCCTTGAACAATGGGAGGTATTTATTTGCCCTGTTAGTTACTTGTCTATTTTTGTCTAAGGATTTCACCTGTCATGGCAGTAGTTTTTTTTCTTTTTTTTTGATCAGCCACTGTCATGGCAGTGTTACTAGTGTATGTGATGTGAAATGGTTCAAATCAATGTGTTTTATGCTTTGTTTGGTCTTTCATTATTTGAGTTACTTACTGGTGGTTACTGTGCTGAGCTGTGCTTCTTGCTGCGTCTTACAAGTTCAGGCCAATCTGAAAGGCAAACAAACTTGAGCTCTTCCATGATGAGAATTTTTCAGTGAGGTCTTCTGAGTCAGAGGTATTGTTTCTTGACATATATAGGAAGCAATTCTTTCATTCCTCTGTTCGAAATTAAGAATTCTCTGTATTGCATATGTGGTGCCATGCTGTCTTTGTCTTTCTGCAGAGAGAAAGAAGCTCCAAGATTAACTGAGAGTGGCTTCCAGTTCTTGGTATAAACCATATGAGCCTGAGCCTTTTGCATTAGATTGCTATGAATTATAATTTTATTTGTGCATTTACAGCTGATGGATACAAATGCAAAACTTTGGCATATTATCAGAGGATATATCTCTAATTCTGAGGTATGGATTCATGGGGTTTCTCTGATTATTTCAGTTAAGTACTTGAGAAGAGGAAAATTGTGGAATTAAGATATCACAGTTTTTTTAATGCATTTTATTATTTAGTGAATGGTAGTAAGGAAATAATTTATTTATGAAGAGTTTATTTTGGAAAATTGACGGTGAGTATCTTCTGTCCATTGCACGCATTCTCATGCATAATGTTGGAAAGAAAGAGGCAGGTGGCGGGCGCCAAGTTGCGCAGCAGGGAGAGAAGGACGCGGCTGCTCTCGAGCATAACGAGGCAGGTGGGGGGGGGGGGGGGGGGGTGTTGGTGGTAGATAGCAGGTATTTGCATATTCGATTTATACTTTGGTGTAGGAGCAAGGTGTAGACCAATCGGATCTAATTGCATTCTTTCTTGAGCTTAGTTTTCATACTACTGGTGAGGTATGCCTTCTACATCTCTTCTCCTGTATTTGTATGAATACTTGCTAGAGGGATTTATTTCATTTCTTGAATAAGAGTGTAACCTCAATGCTCTATTCTTGTTTGGCTAATACTTCTTGTCCTTGCTAGACTCAGACCTAAATTGACAAATGTTGTAAATGCATAATTACATTTTCTTACTTGTGTGCACAACGGCTTCAATCTTATTGCAATGCTTCTTGAGTTTCTTAGAACCAGAATTACATGACATTCCACATTCCAAAAATTCCCAATCTCACTTTATTGCTATATGATGTCTTCATCTTGTCACAGGCATATAATACAAATACACTAACAGATGATCAAAAAAGTATGATCAAGGCCCTTGCAGACTTGGGATTGGTCAAATTTCAGCAGGTTCCACTAATCCCATGGGCTTGTACTGACTTTTAAATAATTAATACATTATTATTCTTTTATGACATTTCTGAGGTGTTTGAATATGTCCAGGGCAGGAAAGAGAGTTGGTTTGTACCAACTAAATTAGCCACAAATCTTTCATTAAGCTTGACAGATTCAGCATCAAGGAAAGAGGTAATTCAAATTGCATTGATAATCAGGTTTTATTAATCTATGTCATTCTTGCTATAGATCCTATTGCAATTGCAGGCTTGATATTACTGAATTTGATTAGTTTTCAATTTTTTGGGTAATTTGCTGACAGCATTAGAGAACAGAAAGAAACCAGTATGGACCCTAGTATCTGTATGTTATGATGTTTATGTCTACAATGCAGCTTTAATATTTTACTAATAGATATTTGTTTTGCGGTTTGTTTTGCTTCATTTAACCCCTGACTGCAGATTATCACATTTCTTCAGCAGAATGCTCATCCTCGAGTAGCTCAGCAAGTACCATCCGTTCCTGAAAATGTCACAGATCAGGTTGTGATTTTTTCTGTATGCTCATACTTGACTAAACTGTTATCTGTGAGTTTAATTTTAAGATGTGCTCAATTGCAGATAAGATTATGCGAAGCTGACTTGAATAGAGTTGAGATGGCTCCTGCTCATTATTATAATGAATCTCCTTCAAGGATAACCTCAAGCATCTTTTATATGTGAGTTTAATGTTATCTGTGAGTTTAATTTTCCTAATATTTTGATCATTGACTTCATAGATTCTGTGGAGCAGGAAGTCTACGAGGCAGCATGCGAATTTGCTCGGGGGTTTGGTGGTTTGCCATGGGAGGATGCTAAAAAAATGTGCATAGTTGTCAACGCAGAGATCCACATGCACATGAGAGAGCATCTATGTGGTCAAAACAATTAAAACATATTTATCACTTATCATAACGATGATCAGCGTAAAGAGTTTTTATAATCAAGATTTATTCTGAATGGATAACTCTAAATACTTGTTCCAACAAGGTGCATAAATCAATGAACAAATTAATATTTTTCTTAATTGTTGACAAATGAATAGCTCACTTGGACTCAGTCTAATACTACACCACAATACCCAAATCCTCATGAATGTTACAGACGGACAAAATTTAAGGAAAAAATGATGACATAACTGCACTAGACCAATAAAGCAGACAAGATGGTGCCAAATGAGAGAAAACCTAGTTGGATTTTTTGGTCGTTGCTGGCTTCCTCTTCATTCTGCTGAAGGGGCCTATAGTCCGATCCATGATATACATGTAAATGACCTGACTCCAAGATTTGTAATACTCTAGGTTATCATAATATTCTGGTGCAATCTCCTTCACCTTGTAGAGTTTGCTTCCGGGGATTCTGGGGAAATCATGGTGCTCGTTGTGATATCCCACGCTCCATGTGAGGAGATTGAGAGGGCCATAATAAGAATATGTCTCTTGGTCGGGGTTGAATACATAATGCTCTGAGATGAAATGGCCAGCCATTGGGTGCATTCCACCCCCAACAAATGTTGAAAGAATCAAGTAAGCAAATGATTTCCAGCCCCAAAACCAAACCATGGCCACATCAAGCCCTATCTGAATAAATAAGTTGATGAACTCCCAGTAACCAGGGGGCTTGGGTTTGAAGAACAAAGGGCGGAGAGCGTAGAAAAAGAGTTGGAAGATGACCCAAATTGATTTTGTGACTACATTGGTCACGACATGAGCTTCTATCTGACTTGGGATATCCATATCAATACCATCAACTCCTTGGAAACGATGATGCTCAAGGTGATACTTCTGGAAAGTCACAGACATGGGCACACCAATAGGAAGGTTAGCAAAAATCCCAAGCCAACGGTTGTAGACTGGAGTTGAGAAGGCGAGGTTGTGGCTGAGCTCATGGATGGCTAAGAAGAGGTTGTGGTTGAGAAAGGAACCAAAGAAATAAGCTATCCCCAAAATCTTCAGCCAACCTGCACTGTGGAGGGTTGTAGCAGTCCACAGCTGAAGCAAAACAACCACAGTAATCTGCAATAACACAGTCAAGATTTCATTATATTCATCAATCCAATTCAACTTAATTGCATCTTTCATTCGAATAAACTCAAGCAGAAAAGCATTGCCTTTCAGCAAATTTCAATATGAAGTAACCGTTTTGGATTTTGCCTAAGTAAAGTTGGCAAGCAAGAGGAGATTCGATTGACAATGTTATGACGACATAAAAAGGGAACACAGGATGCCAAAAAGAATGAGATTCACAATATCTCACCAACCCAAAAGAAAAGCACAAAATCCATCAATAATATTCAAAACCCCATGAAGAAAATTGCACAAAAATCCCAACTTTCAATCAATGTGATTCATAACATGCCACATACAAGAGAACCCAAAAATCAAAACCACACCCGTCATCTCAACCCACCTTTTCTCAGATCTAAAGCAATGAAGCAATGCGGAAGGGAAACAGAGGTGGTAAAGAAACACATTGCTATATACCTTAAGGAAAGCCAAGGGGTCAGGACCAAAGAGCTCTTTGATTTGAGGGTACTGAGAGAGGATCTGGCGTCTCCTGGAAGCGTGAGGCTCATCCGTGTATGACCAAAAAAAGTCGGTCGCCATTACTCCTTCCTGTTCCTCCTCTCGCCGTTCCCCTCTCCCCATCTCTTTCCCAACCTTCTCTACAAACCGTTTGCGCTTGCTGTCGAGGGTCCTGCGTTGTTGGTTTTTAAAAACAGGGATTTGCGGAGGAAAGGCAGATTTTTTTGACGGTTTAGAATAATTTAAGAAGTAATCACTAAAATTAGAGGTGTTTTTAGACGGACCATGTTCTTGCCCCTTTTCCAGCTTGCATTTGGACTCGCCTCATGCTAACAGTTTTTCCTTTTGGGTCGTTTTCCTCCTTTTTCTTCTGTGTCCAGCCAATTTTCAATTTACAGACTTGTTTTGGAGGGCCTAAAAAATAGTATTTTCGGCCCCAATTTCCCAAAAAATTAGTGGACCATACACGAGGGCATGTTGGCCTTTGTCACCCTCAAAAAGTAGTAATACATTTCTAATATTTTTGTAAAGTATGAAGGCTGATCGAACGAACCTGATGCTTCGGGTCAAGTGACTTTAACCACGTTTGTAAGGTTCATGTCCCTCCCCCAGGGCAATGGTTCGAGTTGGCTCCATAACAAAATGTTCAAAAAAAAATGAAGGCTGACCGAACAATCTTATCTCCTTATAGAATTTTAAAATCTTATACAGTGACAGTCATTTTTATCAATATTTTTAATGCCATTTAGCTATTGTGAAACTTAATTTCGATATGGATTTGTTAGCTAAATTAGTTTTCCCATTTTCTTTTATGTCAGGCTCGAATCTAAGCATTATGAGTAATGAAAGATATATTTTGCAGTTTTATATAATCTGAACCGTAAAACAACAAACTTTATGAGTAAACAGAATTTGTTATTGATACCTTGGACCAAAACTTAAACAAGAAAATCATATGATCATTCAAGCTATACAAGGATGTACAGACGTGCTGAGTACAGACTGTCAACTCCTGGTTGACCTATCTCAAATTACGAATGTCACTCGCAGTCCACAATAATCCGGGCTGGGTTCTGCTGAGAAGTGGGAAGAAAGCACTGCATGACTGGTTAACCTAAACTTGCCGACTCAGTAATTCGGCCATTTATGCGATCAACAGAAAAAGGGACCGATGAAGTAAAAGGTCACAGGATGTGCCTCAACCTTAGACTGTACTTATTGCCTATCTTAAGTGGGAATCATAAGTGTCAAAAACTGTATCTGGGACAATTAGAGGTAACTTATCTATATATATGAAGAGCCTTTTGAGATTCTCCCTTGTCACCGTGGCCATGTCAACAATATCCCTGCTCTCTGTATATACCCAGAGATCACCAGAATTAACTCTCTTCAGACTGTCACGGCAGAAGGGGCATGACTCTGATCTTGTTCGCCTGAAATTGATTGGAAAAAGGATTACATATCTATAAGCTAATTGGTATGAGAAACATATACAAACAATCAAAAATTGCTCAATCACATTCCTCAGTGATGGAAATAATTAAAAGTACCGACACAACTAAGATCTAGAATCAACAAAGCATTTACAAGACTTTAATCTTTTTGCAGTAAACTGTAATTAGTATTTTTATGTTATCGGTTGCTACCTGGTATACTTTTCATTCAAATGAAGCCTACCCTAATTGACAATGCTATATACCATACATAAGCTATTCAGACTCATAAGAAATCTCAGGTATCCTTACAATCTCATCTAATATGATAAGCGATTCAGACTCCTAAGAAATCTCAGGCATCCTTACAATCCCGTCTAATATGGGGACAAAGACAAATAGGATTATCAGGGAGGCAATGTCTGGGTGATATACTATGAGTACAAAAATCCAGCAACTGCATAGAGCAGTAGGTTGATGTCTTAAACTTAAGAACTAAAGAACAGAGAGGGAGTGTGGCTGTACCATTCACGGTAACATTTCAAGCACATTGCATGGTTGCAGTTTGGCAATACAATCTTACTATTCATCTCCATGCAAATTCCACACTCTTCTTCTCTTTCACAATCAACATCTGTAAGTTGCCAATGCTCCTCATCATCTCTCCTTCTGTACCTTTCCATGTAAACTGCCTTCTGTTTTTTATCTTCAGTATCAGTTACACCCTTTTGAAGTTGCAAAACGGAGGGATAAATTACCGCTGACCAATGCAAGAATTGAGACTCGTTAAGACATGAACTAAAGGCAAACCAAGCTGCTTAAACTAATAAATTTACCATAAAACTCTCTAATGCTTGCTTTCCTTTCATGGGTAGACATGGTTGTAGTGCCATCCACATAAACCTGAAGCACAAGAAAAGATTGTCAGTTCAGCTGGTTTTTATGATTTGGAAAATGTCATCAAAAGCCAACCAAATGCGACCTTGTAAATTAATATTCTTAAAAGGCCAAGGGCTCCTGCAAGATGGCAGTCTGTCCATTGCACCAAAAAGAGGAATAGGTGTGCAGCTGGACTGTATGACATTCTCATCTGGAGGCAGGCACCATCATACTCCCTTGGAAAATCAGATGCCCTGCACTTCCATGCAACCTTAGTATTTAAACAGAGAGAAAAGCGTGGTGATAAAATTAGGCAAGAAGGATCAAAAACAGCATAAAGATCATCCAAAACACTAACACAAAGTTACAGAGCATGACTAAAGAACATTACATATACATACCAAGATTACAGCTCAATTTAATAACCCAAAGGTTAACAAAAAAACCATTTGCAATCAAGCAATACAAGAGATGGGACGGCAACTGATTCGTCACAGTGTCAATATTAATATCAAAATAGAAATATCAAGTGGAACCCATTGGCCCCTTGGGCACGTGAAGTCAGATGAACACAATTCATGAGTATGACACAAAAGATCATGAAATTACTCACAATCAGAAAATATATAGTGCCATTAAAAGTTGTAAAAAAGAAGCAGAACCTGACCCATGATATGATTGTCGGTAATAATATATGAATGACAAGGCAAAATAAGCCCAAGGACATATAATAACAGCAATCATTCAAACAGGTATTAGAGCAAAAGCTAACCAAGAGATAATCCCTCTTCATGAATTAAGAAAAACCAATAACCAAAGGAAACAAATGTAACATGCAGGGATAAAAAATCAAATGTGACAACTAACAGAACATAAAAGAGTAAAATAGATTAGGAACCAGATTATGCAGGAAAAAAAAAAAGAAGTCAAATTCTTTCCAGAGAAAGGAAGATTACAGGAAGCAAATGATAATATTGTTGCAGGAAAATGCAAAATTAGAGTGAATTAGTGAAATCATAATCTATAAACACGCACACAAAAAGGGGCAAACTTTGATCTCAAGAACTATCGCATTTCTTTCAAACAAGATAAAATCAAGCACTAAACTTTCACCTTAATAGAAAACCCAATTGAAGAAAAACAAAAACCAATCAGGAAAATCAGCCTTACAGAGTGTTCGCATGCTGAATATCAGCTTCAAGCACTTTGAGCGAGTCCTTGAACGATTTTCGCATGGAACCCACGTACATTTCCAAAAAAAAATCGAAAAAGGAAACAACAAATGGCAGCCAAAACCCAAACCCAGAAAGAAAATCAAACCCCACAATCCAAAAACCCTAATTTCCTTCTCCTTCAAGAACAACCCTCAGTTCCCCACTTGGGCAAAATTTCCCACTTCTCTCTCTCTCTCTCTCTCTCTCTCCCAGAGAGCTTTCTTGGTGGGTGGTTCTAGGTGGTGGCGGTGATGGTGCGCTTCTATTCTCTTCTTGAAAGTGAAGGGAGGAGAGCGAGAGATGGGGACACGTGTACAGGTCGTCGGGAAAATAAATAAAGTAATAATTGTGGGACCATAAATGAAAAATTAGATAATTGCGGGTCCTTGATGACGTGCCCAACTCAGCCACCCCTTATCCGATATGGCAACGCCCCACTATTTTTTTCCTATTATCCACTAACCACCCTGTAAATTTGAATTATAATTTTTTCACTCCCTCTTCCGGTTTTGCCCCCTTTTGTTTGACCTATTCACGAAACTGCCATCCATTCTTTTTCAAGTTTCTTTTGAGATATCTGTTTTGCCATTGAAATTTGAAAATGTTATATTTCGATAGAAAATGATTTAAGGGTAAATTTTTTTAGTTTGTATAATTTTATGTATTATTTAAATAATTATTTTTTATTTAAAATTTATAATATTAAATATATATTTATTTAATAATAT